AAAAATTTCTAGCTCTGCCCTTGGGTTTAGTCCAATGGTGATGGGAGGTGATTCGAGCAACGCAACTATTTAGATGGACAAGGGGAGAAGTCGTGGGGTCACGGAAGCTTGCCGAGCGTCAGTCTATATGGAGTGGCCGATAGCCTGGCTAAATTGGAGAGCGGTGAAGCCCAGCTCTATTCCATAGTAAAACTCCTTTTAGGGGCCTGGTTTTGCTCACAGGTCCTGCTTTTCAGAAATCATGTAAAGGCTAATAGTCATCCTTCATTTTAATACATTTTATTAACAAAATGTTACAGTATGCACATAAAACTGCATTTGCATGAGCAATTAGAGTTGCCCATTTAACTTAGTTAACAATTTGGGTCGTTATTTGTTTCACCCAACTGTTCTGTTGCATCAAATGATGAGTATGAACATTAAATTTAAATCAAATTCCATGTTAACATTTTAACAAGCAGGAGAAGAGCTAAATAATGGAATACCCGAATTAAATTAACTGAAAATTCGTAAAATGCAGAAAAAGTGAAACTCACGAGTTATAGAATCGGGATAAGGTTCATCATCTTCATTCTCTCGCTGGATAGACGGGGCTAGAGCGGAAACAATGATTGACATGTCTTTGTCCGACCGTTGACATCGTAATTTCCGGTGAGTTCGTTTAGAGGAACTGGAGAACTGGATTCATGTATCTGGTCCTCAGCTGCTCAGCAGGCTTGCGACAACGGGAGAAGAGAGAAAGGGCGAGTAGCGGTTCGAGTTGGACTCCATAACTGCATGTACAATTAGATCGTTTTTTGGTACTTTCCATTTTCACACCCCCAAACGGATCGGATCTCGTCGGATACGTCGTACAGCAAACGTAGGAGTGAAATTTGATCTGATCCAACCCGAATCCGATCTGAGCTTTTGTACGGGTTGGGCCCGAGTTTTTCGAGCTTTGGGCTGGGCCACAAAATCTTAGGCCTGACTCAACCTGAATCCGTCCAAAGAAATACATACATGTATTTATTGTTAATTCATTCTACTTCTAAATTGGGATTAAAGCTCGGTGAAAGATGATTGTATAAAAAGATAAGCATAAAATCTTTTAAACCCAACCAACCTACCTAGTCCGGTACAATCCAATCCCAACTCAAGCGGCCAAGCCCAATCTGACTTGTGTTGGGTTAAGCTCAATTTGAGCTTGGACTGAGAAATCCAGGCTTGACCTCGAGTTGAGCCAGGACCAAGTTGTATCTTAAGCTGTGTTTGGTTTGCAGTGCAAATTTATCTGTATTAATACAAATGCATGGGAGTGCAAATGTAAAAGATGCTATTTAATTTTGTTTTGGATTTTACTTTATTCTGTTTCCTGTCTTAATTTATTTTATTTGTATTGCAATCAAACAAAATAAGTTAAAGTTTGAAACAAAAACATATCATTTGCACTGTCATAGTTTTGCATCAATACAAATTTATTTGCATTGCAACCAAACACAGTCGTCCTAAGGCTATATGCCTAGGTTGACCTCCAACCCAATCCACCCAAATTGCACCCCCTACCCAAAGTCCTCTAATGGATCGGATCAAATCAAATACATCAAGATTGAAATTTATTTGTTGACATATGGGATATTGAACAACATCAATAAATTTATATAAAAATTAGAAACAACACCAAAAACATAAACTATAATGGAAAATGGAAAATGGAAAAAGAAAGTTTCTCTAAATCCCAAATTTAACAAAATTCTGAACAATTTTAATATTAAAAAAATGTTTTATAAATGAAAAGTCAAAATTCCGTTATGTATTCACAGTATCGATGGGTCATTGATACACTAAATAAGAATGCTTTAGGGGTTTGACTTATTTCAAGGAGTAGACGGGCCTAAGACCTATATTGGGGTGTATTGATACTTAGAACATTATATCCAAATTGAATCCTATCAATAAATGGATCATATTTTCAAATCTGATTATGGATAAACAGATATCCAACTATTTACATCCCAACCTAGGTTGATAAAGGGTCATCGAAGTGGTTTCATTGAATTAGTGTCACAGACCCATTGCATATGGACCTGCCATGACGTGTGCATGAGCCATGCAGCGGTTCACTCACCATCTTAGAGGTTCCCTATTGAGTAGGAGAGTGTTTTGAATTGGTCTTATTTACGTAGTATTTACATATATAGGATTTTTATGCTTCATATATAGTCAGTTGTTATTTTTTCGTTCTGGAAGTTTATCTTTGTTATTTGTTATATCTTTTCCTTCTTTAAGGAACCTTACCGTTGTAATAAACCAACTATAAAAAGGTTGGTCATTATCAGTAAAGTATGAAGAGTTTTATTTTTTTCCGGATTAATTATCTTGGAGGAAAGGGTTGCCTCTCGAACAAACCCAGGAGTTCACTCTTATCTCTTTCAAAATAGGGAAGAGGAAACTTTCTTTCTCTTCTCCGGTGACCGGATCCCGGCAAGTCCTCCTGATCGGACGTCCTATTACTCGTTCGGTCACCCGTGCCCGTGACAATTAGCCGTTGAAGTGATGTACCAAATTTTTAATTAATCTAGGTTGTCGGTTGTCCAAACAAAACGCAGCTATTAATAAAAGTGGAATGTACCTAGATTTCAACTAATATTGGCCATTTAAGGAATCTAGGCTATGGTACTAAAAAGATTTTACACAATGTTTTCAATCATCCGACGATGAAGTATCCATCTAGACAGTTCAGTCATTCAAATCATCACCTGATCCTGTTTGTGGGTTTGGTTTTTCAAAATTTGAAAATTTACAAAAATGACGAATTGGTAACAGCTGAAGTGGCTAAACTGAATGACTTATTGCTTTGTTATTTAGTGGATTTAATTTAACTAGCTCTAAAGTGTTAGAAACAAAGCCTTTCCAAGGAACCTAGGGAGCTAGGAATAACTGTAATGGGTGGTAAAAATAAAATGAGAGAAGTAAACAAATGCCATTGACAACACTCTCACAAGAAATGATGATCTCTTGAAAATTGAAAGGAGTAATGGGATTAGGGGCAGACCAAAAAGAGCATGGGTTGAAGTAGCAAGAAATGATTTAAATGCTCATAATTAGATATGACATTAAACAAAATGGAATGGTCAAACAGGATTCATCATTTATATAACCAACCCCATATGATTGGGATAAGGCTTAGATGATGATAATGAACCAGCTCCAAATAATACATCCAACCAAGAAACCAACTACACATGGGGTGATCCTTATCTACTTAAGAATCAGATCCACATTCGGTAATTCATATTTAGTATACATACATAAAAATGGGTCAGACCATTCTTGGAGGCCCAGTAGATTTAAAGCCTGCATCCTTACTAGTAGTTACTACTCCAAGTCTCTAACCAGATCTAGATCCAAAGCCAACACAAAACCCAACTAGGTGGTTCATTGCAACCCGTCACAAATCCAATCCCCACCTCAAGTCAACCTTATCTTAAAATGCAATGAACATGGATCATATTTTGGACCGAACCAACTTCACTTCAGACTCCTAACAGTAGCTTCCTTTAACTCGATCCACTGTTCTTGGAAGCCATTTGGAGTCAATATAGTTGTCCTTGTTGAAGCTCATCTTGCTTCATGGACAGAAGTAATTAAAACTTAAAACCCAGAACCAGAAAAAACGTTGCCTACAACAGCATCCATGTTCACTAGCTTTCAGTATCAGTTAAGAAATAGAAACAATGCTCACGTAAGTCCAGAACAATATAAGCAATTAAATAGATGAAGTAAGAGGAAAGAAAGACAAACCAAGAAAAGGACTGAAAGTTTTAAATTATGTTAATTGTTTTTTTAAAGCTAGTGGTTGGGATTCATAATTCATTCTCCTAACTATTCTCTGAACACAATAATGATGACAATAAAGGAGACACCTCTGGCATACATGAGTCTGTGCATTACCCATTAGCCCATCTACATAGCTTTCCTTGCATTCAAAGATATTATTGTGTGAGGGGTAGATTCCAGTTTATCCATTAATTTTATTAGAAATTATAATTGGAGGAAGAATCAAGAAACAAGATTAAAAGGACTAAAATACTAGAATACAGACCTAGATCAACTCCTTGTTTTTTTATACAGAAAGAAGGCGACACTTTATACTTAGCTGTCAATGCTAATCAATCCAAGGAGTTGGAGCTAAGAGCCATCTCTTGAATTTTGATAGGTTACATCTCACATAATGCCTATCGGAAGTCGCACCAACCAGCTGATGGGTTCTTAATTATTCTGTACCAATTGGTTATTATGAAATTAAAAGAAGAAACTATAGATCCATTAATTCCTTCATTAGGGAAAACGATCGAACGATTAGAATGCAGATAATCAATTTAAAGGGAAAGAGACACCCAGGATTCGTGTTCAAGCAAGTTGGCCGTGACTTAACAAACTAGGGACAGGACAAGAAGATTAAAGAAAAGGCCATTGTTCTCTACAAGCAATTGAATGACGAAAACCCATTCCAAGACAAAAGTGGTCCAGAATTTATGCTTAACCTGATTTCAACTTTCATCTTTTGATGTTTCGCTTAAGCTAGTACAAGTGTATAACTGTATGAGAGAAACCCCAGCATACAGTAACTGGAACTGAGCTGAGAAAACTTAACCAGTTCAAAAGATAATAGTCTGGAAATTTTCACAAACTCGTGAAGAAAGCTATAGAGATGAAGGGTTGATAAGAAATCATCCACGGAGGCCTGCAGCAATGGATCTGTTGGACCATCTGGTATCTGCCTCCCCATGTTTGAAGGAACAGGGGGCAATCAGTTTAATAACGCTGGCAAGGACCTGAACTTTTTAAAAAAAAAAAACACACATTGAGATCAGCCATCTTAATCAAAGTCATACAAGGTGGAACCAAAGAGTTGATTGTTCTTCAGATTCTACAAGCTCAATTACGTCCAAAGTCCTGAGATTGAATTTCCAAGAAAGTCCATGTTACTAGATCAAATAAATTAAAGGATCACAATCTGGATATGGCTCAACGCTCAAGGTTGGCTTTGCTCTCTTAATATAGTAACCAATGTTACATCAGACTGAGCCATAAAGAAATGCAACTAAGCAAACATTTGTTTAAGTAATTTGGTCCATCAAGACAAACAAAATGGGAATGAGCCCAAAGAAAAGGATGCACAAAGAAAGGAAAAAGGAAGAAGAGAATCTAAAGGCATGGAGTAATTTGTCCTATTTTACATGTTGACAATTATATAAGGATTAGTATAGAATAAACAAAGGTAATACAGTTTCAGTCATACATTATCACCCTTGGAAGCCAAAAACTGTGGACAAAACCCAACAGCAATCTCCTTATCTAACCAAAATCAACAGACTTCTCAGCCTCTCTGTCTGAGACTGAAAGAGGGAATAATAAGCCAAGACAAGAAAAAGGAATAATAAGCAAGCTACCCCAGTATACCCAGGCGCCATGTTGATTAATCCGTATTCAAATTTAAGCAGTCTAGACTCGGTCCTCTTTCATTGGTTGATAGGGGTATACTGAAAAATCGAGAATTTACAGAATTTCCTCAACTGCTGAAAGTATTTCTACGATCTAGTGAATTGGGAGATAGATCAAAATCTGGGTAGGATCAGGAACAGGCCCTAAGAGCACCATCTAACTCAGATTTCTCCATTCCTTCGTCGAACAGCATCTCTTGGTAGCGGCATTCGCGGCTGCAGAACGCCTTCTCACCCCTGAAATATGAGAAAAAAAATGTTAATTTGGAACTCTGTTGATTCAACAACATAGCAGGAGAAAAAGAAAAGGTCACAACTAGATTAACAGTAATCACAGTTCAGTCCTCGTAAAACCATAATCAAAATCATAACCAGAATTAGAACCGAAAAGCATGTTAAAAACTCAACCAGTTGGGATCAATCAATATGAGAATTAATAGTCCACTCTGAACTAAAGATCATAACCATAATGGATAAACTCAAATTAGGTTTGTCTGCATCAACTTAAGTTTCTCTGAGATTTCATAATACCTATAACTCGAGACACTATAAGTCTAACCAAAGCCCATTTATAGCAGGATCATTCTGGATCTGATTAAAGCAAAATTTATATGCAACAAAAGCATATCTGAACAAACCTGTAAATGTAAATGTCTTTCCCCTGTCCAAGATCCTTCTTGCAAGTGTAACAGAAGCTAAGGAAATTCACTGAGGGATAATTTGATCGGTCAGAGGAAAAACAGTTCTCCTTCCTTGATGCAGACAAACCAACAACACCACAGCAACTCTCCACGATGCAGTTATCAAAGATGTGAGTCGTTCTTGGATTAGGCCCATGGGTGATGACACAGGTATAATCCTCTGAAAGCTCCATCTCGCTTGCAGAGAGACAACCTGTGAATATCTTAGGAGAGGCGGGTGCGTCCAGGCCAGAATTTGCTGACCCAAATGCAGATTTCTTTGCCGAAGGAGATACTCCCGGGGAGAAAGGACCCAACTGAGAACTTCGGGTTTTGATACCGAAGTCAGCAGGAGATTTGGGGGATTCGGTGGGAGAAAGTACAGAAGGTGGGAGAGGAGGTATTTGAATCTTCAGCTGTGATCCGAACAGAACCATTCGGCTTTCAGGTTTGGAAAAACTGTTCGTGCTTCTTTCATCACTAAGAGCATCAACAATACCGAGACCAATGCCTCTTGAGTCTAATTTCTCCCACGGGTGTCTGTTCTCCGGACAAGGTTCTGGGGATTTAGCAGTTAATCTATCAGACCAAATAGGGTTACCAAAACCAGAGAATGGTTTAGTGTCAAGTATAGAAGTCGGGCTCATCACAGCTTCGGTTTCAGAAAAGCCCTTTCCAGATAAAGCGGTGAAGAGCCGTGGAGAACTGAAGAAGGGCGAAGTCGGCCTTATGTATTTGCCCTTGGGAGATGGAAGAGAACCATGATCAGCCATAAGAGCTTGCTTACTGGTCATAGCCCTCGATCTCTTCCTTAGCATAACTTCCTCTATCAGAGTCTCGGAAGCCTTAACTTCCTCCTCTGCAGAGCAGAAAAGAACGAAAAAACAAATTAGATTGTTTTTCCTTCCAATAAGAAAGATTCATACAGTGAAAACAACATAATATGAACTTCCGAACTAACCTGAGATAATTTGGGAGCGCACACAGAAGCAAGAACTGAACTTAAAATGTCACCATGGATTAAAGGTGCTGTTTTGCAGACCACATCAAAATGCAGAGGACTGAAGGGAGTAAAATGGATTTTAAAGGTCTTTACTAGATGGCAGAACCATCACCCATCAAATAACCAGAAACAAGAATGGCCCAGGTCTGCTCCATGAGAATTTCTTCTCTACTTCTATAACCTCTTTCAAACAATGTAATAGAACAAGAAAAAAGCTCCCCTGTTCCCCTATATTCTTGATTTTCTCTCTGAATTAGTTCAAGTATTTTCTTCCCCAGTTTTAATGACAAGAATCACTCTCCATCGGAACCCACATAGAAACAAGCTTCACGATCGAAAGATGTGAAGAACAGACGTGAATCGACAAGCAGACAGAAAAAGCTTGTATTTTTATGCTTTCGTTTCTTCTTTCCTTTGCCTTTTATCTCTCCTTCGTTCTTTCCCCAGTATATCAGCAAAAACAGTTCTTAGCTCTACTTTCTACTACTGCTACACAGAAAAAGATTCAAAACCCAGGTGAAGACAAGACCCATAAACAAAAATAGGAACAGAAACGAAAAACCAACATTAAAACAAAAAGCTGAGTGGCACTGCTCCTCCCTCCCCTCTCACTCTCCTTTTCCCCAGTGGATTTTCTTTTCTTCCTCCTCTCTTTCTATCTTTTTCAGCTTTATTTCTTCTCTTTCAGTATCAGTACTGCAGAATCGCCATGGATTTGCAGGGAAAGAAAGACCATCAAACCATACGAAGAAGTGAGAGCTCGTGGTTAAAGGGGTGGCGGACGGACTCGAAGATATAAGGACGCGTGTGCATAGGAATCAGTGGTTTTGGTAAAAACCGCCACTGCTCTCAAAATGGCAGTTTTACCTTGGCGGTTTTAGACAGAAACAGAAGTCTGATGGCTGCGAGCTTTCTTCCCTTCCCTTTCTCTCTCTGGACTCCTTTCGCTTTCTCACCTCTCTCTCTCTCTCTCTCTCTCTCTCTCTCTCTCTGATGCTATTCCTTTTCTCTTCCTCTGTAATTTTTTTCTTTTTTCCCGTTTTTCGCCCTCTCCATTCTCCAGTCACTGAATACGAATATAAACACAACAGACTCGTAGGCTGACGACACGCTACGTCCATTTCGCCGGCCGTACGTCGCCTCTTTAACCTCACATACGAGTTTAACTTTTAACCTCGGTTAAACTGTAGATTCCGGAAGCAAAAACCGACAAAAATACAGCCGTCTAGGTCTATACAACGGCTCCGCTCAGCTGGGCCTTTCTTGATGGGCTCGTACTGTCTTTTGTTCTATTTCTTATTCTATTCTATCTGACCAATTGAATTATCTCTTTTCTTTTATACTTATTCAAAAAATAATAAAATATAAAATACTTGGCTATAAGGTCCAAAAACCAACCGGGTAACGGCCGTTACAGCAGTTAAAATGGCAGTTAGGTATGGCTACTGTTTGACGGGGACCCATCAATCTTCAGTTTATTTCTTTGACTCGATGGAATCAAAGTGGTAGAGACCGGAGAGTTCAAACTTTTCTAGAAAGTTTTCTGTTTGATGTGGAAAGGAGTAGATGATCCGAATTAATGGTTTATCCGAAGACAATTGGACGCAAATGGGTCTAATTTAAACCAGCAACTCTCCGACTACAGTGTAATTGTTCCGTACACGTTTCCTTGATTTCCCGCTGGGTTTGAAGATTGTCTTAATTCTTGCAAGTTTTGAGTTGCGTTTGGATTGTTAGAATTTTGATCATCTAAAATACATGATAACGGAAGGACTTTGACTAATCAAACCCCCCACCAATTTTCATAAATACTAAGAATAAAAACCATTCATAAAGTATGATTCTATTAATGCTTGTTTGACCAAATCATATAGTATGATTAAATGTCGCCCTAATTATAATTGATTATCACCTTTATGACATTGGTTCATTGATTACAATTTTTTCGGGTGCTAATTATAATTGATTATCACCTTTACGACATTGGTTCATTGATTACAAGGTTTTCGGGTATAATGTCTTTTCGATTTGAACCCTAATTAATATCCAAGGATATTAATTTTTGAATTACTTAGCTTAAATCGTTGATTGAGCTTGTAAAGAAAATTTTTGCACTAAAATCAATAAACATCATTAATGGCCTTATCAGTGGTTGAAAGTTGTAACTTGATTCCACATATCTGTTGACGTGGCAGTTATTCTTATTTTTAAAACCAAAGTGGGTGTTTGGCATAAAAAACGGTGCCATATAAGCATCATATAGAAAAAGCGGTGTTTCAGACCATACCTTGGAAATTTGGAAAGTGTATGAAAAAACGTTAAATTTGATGTTTTCTCGAAAAACAGCTCATTGTTGCCAGCGATGCAACGATATGGTATCATTTTGGACATTTGATAATATGACCAATGCTAAAAATGGTTCTATAACACTGACACCAAACACAATCAGTGTTGTTTTCCCAAAAAACAACATATGTGGCAGCACCGCTTTCAAACAAAAAAGAAAACGGTGCTTACAACTCACACATGCCCATCAACATTTTTATGAAAAAACGTTGTGATGTTCCTAGTAAATCAACCATTGGGATAAGATTCATTTTAATGTTTTCCCTAATACTAAGGTGTTTATTTACTATTCTACTTATGTGGCACCTAATGGCGCCTAACCATCAATAAACAATAGGAAAACACTTACCAACCACTTTTCATCGGTTATGAAGACAAATCAAATACAAATATATTTTTTTTTTAATAAACTGAAGCCATACCAAACATCCCCTAGGTTAAAATGTTGATACCTAAAACACCATGGTACCAAAAACTAATATCAACTTCCACTATAGCAAATTGTCTAACAGGGTGGCAACTGGTCATATGGACCTGACCTAGACCATATTCAAAAATAAATTTTGCAATGTAGACCATAGTTAGTGGATAAGCATAGAGAATTGAGTATGGTATAGAAACGGTGTGTATTTACTTTCAAGAATAAAAAACACAATACAGGTTCGACTATGATGTCAGAAAAAAATTATTATAAATCAACTGATAACATAAAAGTGGTAATTATTAACTAATCAGGTGGTATTCATCAAAATTGAAAGGGATTGGTTTGTTAAAGCTCTTTTAATTGGCTTCATAGATTTATCCTAAAAATTAAGCTAAATAAACATGGTATAATAAGATTAATTAAAAATGAATACATGTTTAATAATTTATATTTTAAGATATAGAATAAAAAGGTTTGGTACATTTTACATATGTACAATCTATTAAAAATATGCTTATTTACAAGATAATCATATATTATAAAGGCATATTAAAGTATTCTCATTTTTCTCGTATTTTAGAAATCAATATCATTCTAAATCATTATGATGTTCGGTCAAAAATTAAAAAATGGTTATGACAATGTACGATATTTACTATTATCGGGGCACGATTGTTAGGATGTTGGTCCTCATGGAGTGATTTCAATTTTAGTGCTTTTTGGGAATGAAATCACTTATTGTGAGTTCCTTGGCATAAACTACCTCATTTTTAAGTGGRCCCCATATGTTCAAAAAAGGGAGAATGACTGATCAGCCCAGGGTCAGAATTTGTAGGTCCAAAGTACAGTTGGGGTGGATGCCAACTCATTATTGATACCAATTCACACGTGGGCATTGGTGTGTAGAATGGAGGTTTTGACCTTTCGAATGTTTATAGATTTTCGGTGGAAATTAGAAATCTGCATTGGGCCTGTCCGTACTTCTCCATTTAAAAAAAGGGTAAGCTTTTCTCTTTTTTCAATAAATTAAAAAGGGGGAAGTATAAGAGAGGGAAATTCATCATTTAGTTTCAAAAACATCCCCATCTTCAAAGCCAAGGAAATATTCTGCATTGAAAACGGGATTATTTCATTTTGATTCTAAGGCTCAGTTTGGAAGGAGTATAAATACAAATATGTACAGTGCAAATACATATAAAATACAAGGTTTTGCACTCTACAAAATTGTATTTATACTCCTTCCAAACTGAGCTTAAAAATCATTTTCCGGTTCAACACAAAAAACATGTTATTAGTTGTGTATTTATTTTCTGTTTTCAAAACTGAAACAAAAAATATGTTCTTGAATCTAATTTCAAAAACATGTTTTCATTTGATTGTTCAACTTCATACTCCAAAAAATCATATAATTTCTATACTAAAAATTGTTTTTGTTTTAAAAACCAATATTTTGTTGGTTTCAAAAATATATACTGTTTTTTGAAACAAAACCAACTTATTTTTCCTTTTGAAAACAAAAACAGAATTCAAAAACATGTCTTTATTTTTTTGATGATGTGGCAATTTCAAAAACAAATGAAAACAAAAACACTTGTGTTGTAGAACACCCCCTAAATAACGAATTTTTATTAGTTGATTTTTTAAGATAGTAAGGTAAGAGGAATTGATTCTTCAAACTCATTTTCTCAAGCATCACTCCAAGGCCCTGTTCACTTTTCGATAAATTACTTACTCGGGTAAGTGCATTTGCCGATGTTCTTTTATTTCCTAGGTAAATAAGGCAATGGCCATTTTAACCAAAGAAATTCATTATTAAAAGGGGCATTTTTGTCCCATTCAAGTGTTGGTAATTTTCCCCTTATGTGGGGAAGTTATTTACTCACCTAGAAGATGGATATCACTTTCCTGGGTAAATGATACCCAGAAAAATAAACTTTCCTTAGTCCCCACATAAAACTGAAAAAAGAAACGGGATTCTTGGTCAGTGGGAACCAAAATCCCATTGACCAACTTTCCCTCCTCTCAAAATCCAAATAAAGAACACCCCCAAAGATTATTTGGAATGAAAATAAGGAGGGTGATCATTTTCATCCTGACCCCCCAAAAACTTAGATGCTCATCAACATCCCTTAAAAAGTGGAGGTGGGATCAAATCCTCGTAATTGTAGGCCCTCTATGGGGTATCACATCAGTGCCCCACACAACACGCCCCACATATACATCTCAGTGTGCATTGGGAAACRGAACATCTCCCTTGTCATTGGGAGATGCTCCCATTACACGGTTGGGATGTGCTGAGGTCTGATGTGAACTTCCTCTATGGTGAATTGGTGATCTTGGATATGCTGTGCAGAAATGTTGTGTGTACACCTTGAACATTACACTACAGTTGCACATTGGGAACATATTCAGGTTGGGTTGAGTTTTTAAGTTAGGTTCAGGTTAGTCGGGTTGACCTGACTTCTCTACTTTTGTCAAATATTTTAGAAATTATTTCTTTTAAACTTTATTTTTTACATATAATACACATGTATACATGTTTAAATAGATAAATATATATATACATACATACAACTTACAACAAAAAAACATGTATATTCAAGTCAGGGCCTCAACCCTAAAGTTATGTTTGATTTGAAGGAAAATATARGAAAAAGAAGGGAAAGACAAGAAAACCTATATAGGATTTGTAAAAGCTTCCATACCTTTTCCCTACTTTTTCCTTTAAACCAAACACAGCCTAAACCAACTCCAAGTTAAGTCAAGTAGATTTGAATTAGGTTTCAGCTAACCCAATCCTAAGTTGCAGACCTATTCCCCATAAATGACAACATACAAGTTTGGATGTTATCGCTGTACAGTTATAGTATCCTATGCATGGTGCATATACATCATCTGCACTCCTTTGTGATAAGCCAGCGGATCTCGTGTGCACCCTAATCTATCCACACCCCTTAATCTCCCTTTAATGTATCTCATGTTAATAAAAAGTGTACACAATTTTATACACCATCAATATCTTCTTGTTTTTGCATAAGCAGACATCTTGTAGATATGATTCTCAATTTCTTCTTGTTAAGCTTAAATTTATGATGCCGGAATGGTGCCACTTTTTTGATACCCGTTGATTAGAGGTGTCCATAGCCCGGCACGGCCCAACGAATTTGGATTGATCCGGTACGATTATGTGAGTCATGCTGAGTTTRGGGT